AAGAGCTTGAAACCCTTTCATGGCGTCATGAATGTGCACAGATTGATAGTTACTAGTGTCATGGTTGCTTCCAAGATGCTGGATCAGACCCCACGTGTGGTCTAAGAGAGCCTTCCATGACTAGAACCTCTTCCCGCACCCAGTGCATGTCGGTTAATCACAGGCGTATCATGATGGGTTGGTGGAGGAGGAGGGACTTATATGCATTAACATGGAGCGAAGAAGAAGGAAGAAGAAGAAGATACGGGTGGTGAGGAGACAGAGTGAAAGAGCATACATGAACGTTGGAGAGGGAGGAGAGATGCGGTTTGATGACGGAAAAATGCCAAGTGTTAAATTCATGTGGGGTCTACAATGTTGAATAAACGTTCATTAGCGGCAAAAATTAGCTGTTGATGGGTACTATAATTAATTTTGCAAAACTTCACAATTTAACATGTAGTTCATAATGAAATTTTTATTTTTATTTTGTTTTTAATAATATCAAAAGAGTTTAAATTCTCCTCATTACCTACTGCTTTGTGTAATTTATTATTTTTCCTTGTAAAAATATGACATAACTTAAAAAAATAAAAAATTTACCTTTGAAAAATAGGTCGTGTGAAATTTATTTTTTTTTGACCGGATTGTGAAATTTAAAATTGAATTATGAAAATTAAATTAAGAAACATAATCCAGCGAAATTATCAAAATAAAAATACAATATTACTAATGCAATTTAGCTAAATCATCTGCAAATACTGGTCGGTCAAAGATGGCAGGCTGTGGTCCATGAAATTGAAAGCGACCACACAGACGGAAGAGGTTAAAAGTACTACATTGTGACGTAGAGTAAAGGCCAATCACGAATTCACAATATATTTATTCATAATCATCCAAATCGGAGAAATGCTTCCACACGAGGGTCCATCTACCTCCTTCCACCCCCCTTTCCAATTCGACGCGTCTCCACTCTTGGGACAACTTTTTCACTTGTACGACCATGGCAAGTTAACTTTGATCATGAAACTCAAGTCTTCCTTCAACGCTAGACTTCTTTTTTTTTTTTTTCCCTTAACAGTGTTATGATTTTCCTTTTGGAAATTTTGGGAGTGGTTTGCTATGTTTGATATTATTAGAACATAGCTTAGCTCATGTGTATCAATTCATAATTTTTCTCATTCATTCGTATCAATTATTTTAAAGTCAGCAATAGTCAATTATCGGCAAGTATTTGTTTATATTTTAACAACAACTTATATTTAATTAATAATAATATATTTAAATTTTTAACAAGTCAAATATGTGAAATTTTAAAAATCTTAATTTATAATTATCCATGTTAAATTAATAAATTACATTTATAAAATAATAAATTTCATTTAAAAATTAATAATACACTATTATGTCATGAGATAGAAGTGGTTAAAACTTGTTGTTAATTGTATGTGTTACATCAAGAAGTGTATATTTTAATTTTGACAACAATTTATTATGATTTTAATAAGTTAGAAAAATCGATAGAAAGGGCTTAATTGTACGTATTAATCATTCATCAACAAGTATTTATTTGGATTTTAACAATAATTTATTTGTGATTAATAACAATACATTTACACTTTTAACAAGTTAAATGCATGAAGTTTTAAAACTCTCAATTTATAATTATCTATGTCGGATTAATAAGTAATATTTATAAAATAGTAACAAATTTCATTCATAAAGTAACAAAACACAATTATGTTATGACATAAAAATGGTTACAAGGTTGGTTTACTACTTAATTTTTTTTATATATATAATTAAATGGTTTAGTGGCCTAGTGGCCACCAAGTTTTTTAAGTGACCAAGGGTTATGGGATCAAATCCTCCCCTGATAACCTAAACCATTTATTTTTCAAATAAAATGTCGCCAATGCCAGAGCTCCAATGTGACGGTAGGGTCTCTTTTTTGTTTTGTTTTTTAACTACTTGAGGGGCAATTTTATCATTTTGCTTACAAAATTAATATGAAAGGAGGACTAGAGGACTGCAAAACAAATACAAAATCATTTGGTCCTTGTGTGGTACAAATTGGACACAGTGGTCCTTAAATGCTATTTTTTCATGTAAATGGGCTGCACGATACAAAATAAATGATTGTTTATTTAAAATTAATGGTAAGAGCCCATTGCTCCATTTTTATTTCTCTACATGAATATTGCTAAATTCAATCGTAGCCTTTATGATTATCCGATCAAAGGTGACTTTTGACTAGGTCAAAGTTTAGTAATCATCATGTAGGAATCCATGATGATCTCAAGTCAAAGGACTTAGTGATATAGTTACATATGAAATAAGCTTGTGACTTGTACCATGCAGCATTCTCATAGTGGGTCGATCCAGCACCTTGTGCTCTTTCAAGTGCCTATAATTTTGATTTGTATTTTTATAATTAATCAAAGTCATACTAGTCTTGTTTTATCTATGATCTCTCATAGATGACCGATCAGAGACATTTAAGATAATCACTGTAGTTTGTCTAAGGATACAATTATCATATCGAACATGCAATTGATATGATGACAAAAGAAAAATTCATTGAATAATAATATGCATAGTACAATAATTGGCCTTTAGGCACAATTTTCAACAAGATGCACAGGAAAAAAGCAGAGCCCGTGGTAGATAAAATGAGAAGAGAGAGAAAGCATAAAAATTTAAAAGCCAATTAATGCTTCTAATAGGCAAATGTTAACGCTAAGGAAAAAAGCCAAGTCTAGTGGCTTCTCAAAAAGCGCTTGACCTTAATTGAGGTATAAAATTTTTGCTAATTCAAACAATACTTTTTAGGCTTTTTATATCCTAACCTCAATTTGATCCATTTTAATTAAGGTTAGAAGTTAATCTAAATATATACTTAGATGACAATAAACACACAACTAAGGTTAGAGTTCAAACCAATATTTTTCACAAAGCCAAATGGGGTAGTTTTTACAATGAGAGTTGGTAAAGTACTGGACGTTGGGGAGCATTTAATGCTTCCACGTGAGGGTCCATCTACTTCCTTCCATACACCTTTCCAATTCTACCAACTCCACTCTTGGGACAACTTTTTCACTTGTACAACCGTAACAAGTCAACTTTCATCATGAAACTCAAGTCTGCCTTCAATGCTAGACTTTTTTACTATTTAAAATTTATTTCATAACATCTCATAATATAAGTTATTTAGTGATTTTTAAAAAATAATTTATGATTAAATTTACATCTTTATCCTTTATGTACATGTTTAGATGCATTTGAATTTTAATTAGATAAAATTAATTAATATGATTAATTTTGAATATAATTGATTATGCTATGTGTGTATAATTGATTTATAATATTGATAAATAAAATTAATTTTAATAAAAATTGAAAACATTGGAAAAGTAAAATTGAAAATAATGTAAAACTATGTTTATGTTAAAATATATCCAAATACTGATGTTATATGTTAAAATTAATTATGAATCCAAAATCATGTTTTTTAAAAAATATTCAAACATTCATTATATATACCAAAATCAATAAACATGGTTTTTTTTTTAATATCCAGACAATTCCAAACATACTAAAATCAATTATAAAGCCAAACTTAGAAGCTACTATTACTTGCTTTTCAATTTATATTTTCAATTATAATTTTCTAAAACTTTATCCAATAATATCATATAAATTATTTTACAAATCATATTTCTTGATTTATAATTGATTTTGATGCATATTACGTTGTTTGGATATTTTTAAAAATATATTTTGGTTTGAGGTTCTAAAAATTTGAAATTCATTACCTGTCAATCTGAGTTTTAGTTTATAACATCGTAGTAAATATTTTTTTTAAAGTACTGTATTTTGGTAAAAAATTTTTTTTGCTATAGCATGATGATCAATTTGCCGCTTCGGTCTAATTCGTTGAACTTCATTAGGTTTACAATCATGAACTAGGATTCTGTGCAGTTTATGACAACAAATTCGTTATGTCTATGCTATATAAAAATATGAGTAAAATATAATGACCTCCCTTCTATTTTATTTAAATTACAGAGACTTTTGATGTATTTTCAAAACATATACGTTAATTCAATTGTTAACGTTGTTAGGAACATTTTGTTAAAAATTTTAAAATACTTGATTTATTTGTAATTTTGTTGAAAATTTTAAATTTATTATTTTACCCACATAATTAAATTATACACTCTCTTTCTCCGAATTTTAAAAGTTTAAATAATTATGTTGATATTTAAATAAATAATTTTAAATTTTGTGTTAAATTAATAAAAATTTTAAAATATATATAATATTAAGTAACTTATTATATTAAATCCTATTATTGCATTAAGTTTTTTAAACTGTATCTTAAAATATTATTTTTAGCCTTTTATGTGTCGAAAATTTAGAAAATATTACCAAATAAATATGTTTATAAAACCAAAAATTAAGCTATAAATAAAAAGTGAAAAAGTATAAGTATTAATATTTTTAGTAATTTGAATAATTTTTAGATAACATTTACATTTAAAAAAAGGATATTTTAGTTTAATAAATGTCAATTAATGGTTGGGTGGATTGAAATAAAATCTTAAAAATAAAAAAAATATTTGTATTATAACTATTTATATTAGAAGAAGTTTCTATAAATTTTAAAAATAAAACATTATTTACAATTAAAACAAATATAGAAGGAAGGTCTTTTACTCTGGAAACATTGCCCTGAAGTTCAGAGGTTGGGCTTGTTGATGACTCAGAAAAAGGAAGTCGGCAAAAAAAAAAAAAGAAAAGACTCAAAAAAAGGAAACTAAATAGGAGTATAATTTAGAAGGACCCCGCAGATCTAGTCAAAGAGAAATCAACGCGTGTGATCATTCATAGAAGCCGCGCGTGTTCCCACTTGGAGTAGGCCCACGTGGCCACATTGGAGACCATGTCCGATACAGTATCCTATGCTCTTGCCAATAAATAACAGGAAGAAATGGCACCAAAGTCGCATTGCGAGTGTCTGGATGAAGAGGCAATCACAAGAACGCATCTTGTTGAACCGAGAGAGACGGAGGTCAGGCAAGAAGATGGAGATGGCCACAGTATGGGCTCAGTTAGGCACAGTCACGGCCACCGTCATGTTCCTCTACGCCATGTTTGAGAAGTTCTTCCCTCCTCCACTTCGCGGCCATCTTCGATCTTTCACCAACAAACTCACCTCCCTCGTTTCTCCCTATGTCCACATCACCTTCCATGAATTTACAGGGGAACGCCTCAAGCGCAGCGAAGCTTTCGCTGCTATCCAAACCTATCTCAGCGGAAACTCCTCCCAACGAGCCAACAGGCTTAAAGCCGAGGTTGTCAAAGATAGCCAGACCCCTCTCATGCTCAGCCTCGACGACAACGAAGAGATCACCGACGAGTTTGAAGGGGTTAAGCTATGGTGGGTTTCCAGCAAGATCACTCCCAAGTCTCAGTCCTTCTCTTTCTACCCTGTTTCCGATGACCGGAGGTTCTTTACCCTCACTTTTCACCGGCGTCATCGGGATCTCATCACTAGTAAGTACCTCAGACACGTGTTGGATGAAGGGAAGGCCATTGCCTCCAGAAACAGGCAGCTCAGGCTCTACACCAACAATCCGAGCAGTGGCTGGCATGGCTACAAAAGCACCAAGTGGAGCCATGTGGTTTTTGAGCACCCCGCAACTTTTGACACGCTGGCTTTGCATCCCAAGAAGAAGGACGAGATTCTCAAGGATCTTGTTAGGTTCCAAAAAAGTAAAAACTATTATGCGAAGATCGGCAAGGCCTGGAAGCGTGGGTATTTACTCTATGGTCCTCCGGGGACTGGTAAGTCCACGATGATAGCTGCCATGGCTAATTTCCTGAACTACGATATCTATGATGTGGAACTGACGGCAGTGAAGGACAACACGGAGCTACGGAGGTTATTGATCGAAACTCCCAGCAAATCGATTATGGTTATCGAAGACATTGATTGCTCTCTTGATCTTACGGGGCAAAGGAAGAAGAAGCCGAAAGAAACTAAAGACAAAGAGGACGACAAACCCAAAGACCCTGTCAAGCAGGAAGAAGAAGAAGAGAAAAAGGCCAGTAAAGTGACTCTGTCTGGGCTGTTAAATTTTATCGACGGGATTTGGTCTTCCTGTGGAGGAGAGAGGATCATCGTGTTCACCACAAATTTCGTGGACAAACTTGATCCTGCTCTTATCAGGAGAGGACGCATGGATAAGCACATTGAATTGTCCTATTGTTGCTACGAAGCATTCAAGGTGCTTGCCAGGAATTATTTGGATATTGAAACCCACGATTTGTTTCCCAGAATTGAGGAATTGTTGAAGGAGACGGAGATGACACCCGCTGATGTGGCTGAGAATCTGATGCCAAAGTCAATGGAGGAAGATGTGAAGAGTTGCTTGCAGAGGTTGATTGAAGCTCTCGAAACGACAAAGCAGGAAGCCAAGAAGAAGGCAGAGGAAGAAGCCAAGAAGATAGCTGAGGAAGAAGCCAGTGAGAAGGACAAGCCGGCAGAGCAGGAAGTGAAAGGGATTGGGAAATCAGGGGAAGGAGTGACGGAAAATGGTTTCCGTTGCTCAGAATGAAATCTGATTTGGTTAGCGGAATGAGAATCCAGTTTTTCTTTTTCTTTTTTTTTTGGGTTCATTAAAATCAACCCACTCAAGTATTACTGCAGCTTGAATCATGTGTAACCTTCTTGAGTAATTGATCAAAAGGAACTATTGTTCTTAGTCGCTTCATGAGAGCCAAGGCGCTTCATCCAGTCAATTCACTATCTATTTAGCTATAAATGTTAAACCAGTTTTCTTTATTTATTTATTGGTGTTACTTTAGGCATGTTTCACTGAAATTTAAAAAAATTTTAAATCTTTAACAAATTTTTACTTTTACTTTTAAGAAATGTGTTCAAATTTCATTAGCAATATTTTTATTCAAGCGATTTAATAAGAATAAAAATATAAAGATAAATACTGTAAATTTTCAAATGACTCATAAATAAAATTAAATTTTTTTATCTTATAAATAGAATTAAAAAAGTATCAAGCACTGGTTATAATCTACTTATTTTTTATCATTTCACAAGCCACGGAAAAGACCAGTTCAATTTTTAAATGAAATTAAAGAAAATATCATATATTGAATATTAGTTAATGTTTTTAAATTAAAAATTTTTTTCTTTTATTTAATAATTTTAAATAAGAGATAATAATTTGAAATATTTTAATGAAATTTAAAAAATCTACATGTATCCCCTGTGTTACATGACTGGAACTTCCTTTGAAAGATTGGTAAGCCTTCGTTTTTGGGGAAAAAAAGGTCGGTTTTTCTTGTACCAAAAAGTAAAAGTATGATTAATTTATAAATCATAATAAATTCCTGTACACTTTTTTTACCAAACTTCCTGTAGACTGGATGGGGGCTTCTTAAATTAAAAATCGAGTGAAGTCCGCGTATATGCCGGATATTTAAAATTAAATTATATTTTTCCTTTGTGAACGGAATATGTTCCTCTGACTTTTATAGATATCAATTAAAATCAATTATAGAAGATTTGATCTATTTTGCATATATAAGAAGAGGCGGGCCCTCTGACCAAAAAATAAAAGTAGAGGCGCGTCTCGGTCGGAATTTAAGATGAATATCATAAATGATTTCTTATTAAATACAAAATATTAAAACTTACAAAATTTGCACGTCTTACTTCTGCTGCTTCTAACTTTCCTCATAGTTTCCTCATAGTGAGGTGGACATGAAGTGTGGGTGCTCCCAGCTCCGCCACGGGCCACTACATACGATGCAAATCATTTGAATTTAATTTTTTTCTGCTTCATGAAAACATTTAATAAGTTTGGGACTTTGGGTGAAGGGATAATACTATAATATAAAAAGTTTCACAAGGAAGAGTTCAGAACCACATGAATGTCAGCCACGTCTCCCATAAAGAACCATAGAATAATTTCTATCCACATCAGATTCTACGTCATCAGATAACGTCAGCCGCTTACGGAAGAATATGAAATCAAGTAAACAACAAAAAGTCGGTGATGTAATAAAAATTATTTAAATAAACATTAAAAAAGGAAAAAGAAAAAGAGAAAGGAGAAAATGATTAAAAAATATTTTTAAATTATATAAAAATTTTTTTAATTTCTAAAATGCTATAATTCTTTTAAAATATTTAAAAACTTTTCTATTATTAAAAAATTAATATAACTGACTAAATTATCCTTAATTCAAACTTATAAATTACTATTAAATTCTTATAATTTTAAGAAAAAATTATGAATTTTATAATAAAACTTGTGAATGGTAATTAATATTTACAAAACTTGAAAAATTTTAAGATTTTAATGTGAATTTGTGCATTTTTATTAAATTCTTGCGATTTTAAGAAGAAAAATTATGAATCTCAAAAAAAAACTTTTGAATGATAATTGATATTTGAATTAAAAGTAATTTAATTATTTATATCAATTCTTTAATAACAAAAAAAGTTAATAGGGACTTTATGATAATTTGGGTATTTTGAAAGATCAAAATGTTATTTATATAATTAAAAAAAATATTATTATTTTTTTCAAAGAAAAAAGTTGAGGCGGGATTAATCATTTATAATGCATACTCCCATTCTATTTATAATTTATTTTTAACATATTTTTTTAAAATTTAAAAAATATTAAATTTTATTAACTTTATCTTAAAATTCAATAATTTTTCACTTCTATCCCTCATAAGAACAAAATGGATATTAATTTTAATTATTTTTTAATATTTAATAAGGATAGAATAGTAAAGATAAATATAAAAAATAGTGAAATACCTTATAAATAAAATCAAAATTAATATTCTTTTTTTATCTTATAAATAAAATTAGAGAAGTGCATATGAATTTTGATAAATAGAAAAATTTATGTACTTTAAAATATTTTATACATGTTACCAATTAAATCAAAATACATAATTTTTTTATATTGTTTATTTTATAACAAATTTTTATTTTGAATTTTATTTTTATATTAAAAATCACTTATCTTATTTATTTAAATAAAAATATATTAAGTAGATATAAAGTGGACTGCTTCAGTATTTCTTTTTATAAATATGTTGTATTGTCATATTAGTAAAATAGGATCCTTGAAAACATATGCCTAAATAGACAGTAACTAAATAATAACAAGTAATTTTATTTTTATGTATGATATTGATTAATCCATTATGCACATTTACTCCCAAAAAATTTCTACCCAAAATAGAAAATTAAAAAGTTGAGTTCATATGCATATCTTTCCCCTGTGTCATGCGCTGATTCTTCATACTTTAACGTAATTTAATAAAAGTTAGTAATTTGTTAAAAGAATTAATCTCTCTAGTTTAAATATAAGTATTTTTTTTTTTGGTTAATTTTGATTCAAAATATAAATAACTTGATAACATGAAAAAATTGTTTTTTTTTTCATTTTAACCATTATATTTATTAGCCCAAATTTGTGTGTAAAATTATCTCTCACTGATTATAAAGTGCATTGATAACTAAAATTAAAAATAAAATTAATATATATTTTGTGAGCATGAGAATTTTATTGATATGCTAGTCTTTTTAAAAAATTACTTATAATCTCTCATTTATTATAAAATGGTTTGATAATTGAAATTAAAAATAAAAATAATACTCCATTCATTTAAAAATATAAGGTATTTTTAACCGAATCTCACTCCCTAATAAAATAGTTACTTACTTTCAAATTAACTCTATCTGTTTATATTTACTCCTGTTAAATATTCTATAATAAATATAAAGTCACTATCATTAGAAAATTTTTTTTTAAAAAGGCAATAATTATATCTCAAAATATTAAAAATATTTTATATTTTAAACATTCAATTGCTTAAAAAATATTTTCTATTTTTAAATAGAGGGAGTATATATTTTATGAGCATGAGAATTTTACTGATATGCAAGTTTTTAAAAAAACTACTTATATTTTTATCAGACAAAAAATTTAAAATTTAATTAATAGTATAAGTGTTACGGTGAGTCTGTGATGGATCAACTCGCCTTTATAAAACAATAGCTCCAGAAGAAGGTTAGAGCTAGGGAAGCTAGGGACAGCTCCGATCTGTGTGTAAACAGAAGCTTATCGAGGATAAGTCAAAAATGGCAGGCTATTCCGGCAACTGTGAGGATAAGGTGTTGAGCGATGTATGGCTCTCAGCTCTTCCAGGACACCTCCCTGTTTATTTTCTTTTTTTCTTTTTTTCAGAAAATATATTTTGGGATTTATTATTAGATTTTAAGGATACTCTTTGCTATAGTATAGCAGTTCTCTGTGGCATTGGGGTATTGAGGGTGGATGTAATCCTCAGATTGTAAATATCATTGAATTCAATGGGAGCGAGAGACGGCCATTTTATCGAGAGATTCTCTAGTCAATAGGTTTATAGGTACCACTACATTCGCAATTCAACTTGTCTCTTCATTCATTCCATCCCAATCCCATGCTCCGGCAATGCATAGGAATTAAAGAAAGCTACCCCACTCTTCATTTCTGCCAGAACTAGTGATTTTTCTTGAAAAAAAAAAAAACAAATTATACATTTTCAAGACGTTTTGCTTATATCTGAAATTTCTAACATCATTTCGTTGAAAGATCAATTTTCTTTTTTTACAGGATTATGTGGAAATAAAGAATATTATAAAAAATTAAAAGGGGAATAACTGCTCTTTTTTTTCCCCTTTTTGGGTACGAAGAGAGGGCTAGGCCCGGAAAACACAGTAGGGAAAGAACTTTGATAATTCATGACAATTAGTTATGAACCTTCTGTGGCGCTGAAGAATGAGCTGTGCAAACGACGACCAGGAGTGAAGCCCAGTCCAAAATCAGAAAAAATTGGCCTTCGAATTGAACACTACATCGGAGGCTCTGTCGCAGAAAGAGAAAATATGCCCACATGGCTTCACACAGAATTACTTCTAATATGAAAATACAATTGCATAATAAGAAAAACAAAGAAAAGGGAAGAGAGTGGATGATTCTAAAGCGGTGAGGTTCACGTAGCAAGCTCAGACGAGGCTCATGTGTTGGAAGTATTCTTCCATTAAATATTATTTGCTCATTTAGCAATTACATGATTGATTGCATCCGCACGTATAATTACATAATAATTTTTGTTACTGAAACTTTCAAATTTCATTTCTCATTATTATATTTTATAGAAGCAAGTTTGACCGGGAAGCACCGGAGGAGTAAATTTTGATGTATGAGATATCATTTTCTTATTGTCTTTTATTTTAGTTTATGTAACGTATATTGTGCCAACTTATAACATATATTATTTTGTATATCATATAGTCTTTAATCTTCAATTTGATGCATCTATATAGTCAAAAAGATTATGTCTGTCCCTCTTAGTCCTAATTTGATTTGAAGGTTATATATGAGGATTTTCTACATCCCTTAGGGCTTTATATGCAAAATATTAAGCTTGCTTATGAGGATCATATCTGTCCCTCATGTTCCTAATTGCTTTTTAGAATATTGTTGATATAACTAAATTCACTTATAGGTGTTAATTAGTTAGTAAATGTGTGTTTATGCTATGGACAAGTGTACATCCTCTAACTATTTTTAATGATGAACAAGTGCTGAATTATGGTGAATCCACTTTGGGTATTACTAAGCATACCATTACTTAAAGATATTATAAAATTACAAAAATTATATGCCTAGAA